CCCTGAGGACAAAATAGCATATCATAGGGCTAAAACAATTAGCAGAGCAGATAGTTTAAAGCTGTGTACCTTGTCAAAAAGTAAATGTCTGCAAAAATACAGCGGGACCTGGCAAGAGACTCAGGGGAGACAGACCGGGGATGTATTAGAAAGTAGATTTTACAGAGATCAAGCCAGGAAGATATGGTTACAACTATCTCCTAGCTTTTATAGACACCTTCTCCCGATGGGTAGAAGCATTCCCAACAAAGCAGGAAACTGCCACCGTCATAGTCAAGAAAATCCTAGAAGAAATCCTCCCGCGCTTTGGGGTGCCCAAGGTAATCGGGTCCGACAATGGACCCACTTTCGTAGCCAAGGTAAGTCAGGGAGTGGCCAGACATCTAGGGGTCGATTGGAAATTACATTGTATCTACAGACCCCAGAGTTCAGGACAGGTAGAAAGGATGAACAGAACTCTAAAAGGGACCCTGACTAAATTAACCATGGAAACTGGTGTGGACTGGGTGGTGCTCCTTCCCTTGGCCCTGTTTAGAGCTAGGAACACCCCCTCCCAGTTCAACTGACCCCCTTTGAAATTCTCTATGGTGCCCCTGCCCCCTTGACTTTACTGGGGAACGCCTTTGAACCCACCTGCCACAATAACAGTGACTTATATGCCAGGTTGAAAGGACTACAAGCAGTGCAGAAGGAAGTCTGGATGCAGCTGGTGGCCACCTATGAGCCTGCGACCCCCGAAGTGTCTCACCAGTTCCAGGTTGGAGACACAGTCTATGTGAGACAACATCGCTCCCAGACCCTGGAGCCCCCTGGAAAGGACCTTACCTAGTGCTTTTGACAACCCCGACAGCTGTAAAGGTAGATGGGATCTCCACTTGGATCCACGCCTCGCACGTAAAACCTGCACCATCAGAGGACCAAGGACTGAGAGACGCCACCTGGAGAGTCCAGAGCTCCAAGGAGCACCCCTTGAGACTTAAAATTGTTCAGGTGCCTAAGGTGTTATAAGATGAGGGCCCTTTTATTCCTTTTGTGCCTGGAGGTCTTTTCCCTGAACCGGGAAGGGTCCAGCCCACATACCCCTAGAAAGTTAACTTTGTATGTTATAAATGGAGTAGGAGATAAAATCTGGAATTCACCCAAAGTCACCTCAGGATCATGGTGGCCAGATCTGTTTCCCGATGTGTGCAAATTGGCCCTGGGAGCCCCACCCAATTGGGATTTAGAAGAATACTTTGATAGCCATAAACCCCCTATCACCCCCAGCCCACCAGACTGCCCTGGGATATCCGCAGAAGTAGTTTGCTCCACCCACCTCAGAAGGAGTATGCTAAGTGCCCTCACCTTTTATGTGTGCCCTGGGTCCCACTGAGATAGAGCACTCAGCTCCCTGTGTGGAGGGAAAGCAGAGTACTTCTGTAAAAGCTGGAGTTGTGAGACTTCAGGAGATACATACGGGAATCCCTCATCATCCCGGGACTATATAAAGGTAACTGCCAATTACACTCACAAAATAGCGAGGGGCTCGTCCCCTCACCGGTATGGGTAATTTGGGGGCTCTAGATATCAAGGGGTCCCTGCCTGCAAAGGGTGGTGTCACCCCCTCCAAGTATCCTTCACGGATCCAGGGGAAAGAGCCATAGGATGGGAAAAAGGATTTACATGGGGGTTAAGGTTCTATAAAGAAGGATATGATGATGGGCTGTTGTTTATCATCAAGCTCAAAGTAGAAACCCAGTATACCGCCATGGGCCCAAATAAATATTTAGCCCCAGTAGGACCTCCAATGGTCAAACTAAAGACTACCTCAGCCCCCCCCCGGGTAACCAGAGTCCTCGGTCCCCATTAAAAAGTCAAAAACCAGGGCACCAAAGAAAATGTCTGAACCCCCTAAACCTAGGCTTCAAAAACAATCTGGGTTATTCCACTTAATCTCTGAAGCCTTCAAGGTCCTAAATAGCACAAACCCCAATACTACCTGCTCCTGCTGGCTTTGTTATGATGTTGCTCCCCCATATTATGAAGGAATAGCCTTCAGAGATGAAATTAAAACTGCAACCGATGTCTCTAACTGTCGTTGGCAGCAACGACAGGTTAAACTCACTCTGTCAGCTGTTACAGGGCAAGGAACATGTGTGAGAAAGATCCCCTCCTCACACAGCCAGCTGTGCAACCAGACTCTTAACTTGACTGAGTGGTCTGGTGACACATATCTGTTGTCCCCCCCTGGGGGTATGGTGGGCTTGCGCTACTGGGGTTACACCCTGCGTTAGCTCAAAGGTCCTGAAAGAAACCCAGGATTTCTGTGTCCTGGTTCAGTTGCTACCTCAACTCGTTTATCATCCCTACAAAGAACTATTATCATATCGGGATAAAAATAATGGAAACTACCGAACTAAAAGAGAGCCCCTAAGTATCACACTCTCTGTCCTCTTAGGCTTAGGATTGGAGCAGCTGGGGCAGCTACAGGAGCCTCAGCTCTAGTTATTCAGCATCAGAATTACCAAAGTTTGCAGGCAGCCATAGATGCTGATATTAAAGAAATAGAAAATTCAATTACTAAGTTACAAGAGTCCCTCATCTCTCTTTCTGAGGTGGTCCTGCAAAATAGAAGGGGGCTAGACCTCTTGTTCCTTCAGCAGGGGGAACTCTGTGCTGCACTAAAAGAAGAATGTTGGGTAAGGGGATCTTAACCCTTGACTTGGTGTTGTCAGCACCATGCCCAGCCAGTGAGCGAACCAGCCATCCCTATATGGGATCCGAACCCGGGGCCTTGGTGTTATCAGCACTGCACTCTCCCGAGTGAGCCACTGGGCCGGCCCAAGAATGTTGTTTTTACATTGATCACTCAGGGATAGTTAAAGACCCCATGGCCAAAATTAGGGAAGGCTTAGCCAAAAGAAAAAAAGAAAGAGAACAAAATCAGGGATGGTTTGAATCATGGTTCAACCTCTCCCCATGGCTCACAACCCTCGTGTCTACCCTGCTAGGACCATTAGTTATTTTAGTGTTACTTCTGACCATTGGTCCCTGCATTTTAAATCGCTTAGTAGCTTTTGTTAGAGAATGTGTTAGTACTGTCCAAATTATGATGTTACGACAACAATATCAGGAATTAAATCAACTAGAGACAAGTATTTCATGATTGAAATACGCACAAGAAAAAGGGGGGATTGTAAAGGAAAATATAACTTTAACATGTGCAATTTGCTTCTGTAAAAATGCTTGCTAAAAATGGGAAAACATAACTAATGTCATTTTAAGAAAAGTAGCTTCTAAGAGGTCAGGCGGGCCCAGGCACACTAAATTCCAGGAACCACCCGCTTCCAGGAACTGACCAGTTCCTTATCTAGAGGCCACCTGGCCAGACACCAGGGAAGATAAACGATTGAGGAATACGCTGTTCCTTATCGGGGTACCAGCCTGCTAAAGCCTACCCATAAATCTAAAGGCTCCTCAGATAACCAACAACTCATCCTGTTACAAAAGTCCGTCTGAAAAACTGTATAAAAAGTGCTTGTGTTAAAAGCTCAGGGCTGCTTCTGTCCTGAAAACGAAGTGACTCCAGCATGCTGGAATAAATTCCTCTTGCTTGATTGCAACGGTCTCTGTCTCATGGTCTTTGTGAAGTGAGCCATCCTGGCGTGTGGGATTAGTGCATGGTGCATGGATCTTACAGGCTGAGATGGA